CATGTGTGAAGATACAACGGCAGTTTTGTCTGAGTGAGTCCACCATTCATCAGGATCTCTACAGAACGCTCTGACACTTAGGTTCTGTTCGTGGCGCCACTTCTTTTTCTCATTTTCCTTTTTTATTTAAAAGAAAAGTTGTTTTTCTGTATTTTTATTGCCTCCATACAAACATCTGTAAATGAAGTACAGCTGTTCTGTCAAAAGTTAAAACTTTTGACTTGTTTTTTTTTTTAGATGTTCTTCAGCTGTTTCATGATTATTATATGTTTATAAATTTGTTGATTTAAAACCAGAACTGTGCAGATGTAGGGAAGACATGCTTTTTATTTAAAACTAATTAGTGATGACTATTATTAATAATTAGTCACATGTAAACAAAACTTTTCAAACCTAAAAATAAAGAGCGGCTTCATAGTTTAAAAAGTGTTAAACAAATTTAAATTGCCAATTTTATAACTTATTTGACTATCTTTTTATTTTTAACTAAATGCTTATTTAGGTAAAACGTGTGCGGGTAAATGAGCTTTTACTCTTGTAATGACACAATTTAAGAGGATAAAATTATTATTATTTTTTTTAAACAAGTTCACTCTTAAACAAATAAACAAAATAGTAAATGTTATTTAATTTCTAATTTCCATATAGTCGGTTGAAACAATGAATAAAACTGATCAAAACACAGTATATAATTTTTATTGTATTTAATTGTGTTTTCTTAATTGGTAAAAACAAAATATAGTTGTTTCTACTTTATTTGTAAAAAAAAAAAAAACATTATTAAATAAATTGGGTAATACAAAATTTTTGACTTTGTTATTTTAGTTTTTAAGGCACATCTTCAAATTTATTGAGAGTAAATCGTGAAACATGTTAGATTTTGTAATATATATATATATATATATATATACTTTTTTTTTTGTCAAAATAGTTTCTTAGTGTTTTAGTACGTATTCTTCTGTTTTGATAAACTTTTTCTAAATAAATAAATTTAAAGTTCAGTTTTTACGTCTGAAAACGCTTTGAGTGAAAGTTCGTTTTAATCTGAGCTGGATTAAAAATATTTTTATTGACGGTCTGATTATCTGGAACTCTGCGTTTCCTCATTGAAAATCCCCCAGATGTGTTGAATTAACAACCTCAGACCCGGTTCAATCAGGACGCGTGAGAACGGGTCAGAACCAGAGGAAGTGGGTTCCGTTTGGGTTTTTAGAGCCGGTTCTGGCTGCCGCCTTGTCTTCTTCCTGCCGTCGGGAGCTCTGTTCAAACACCCGGGAGGTCAGGAGGTGTGAAGGTCGCATAACTGAGTGCCGTCCGCCCTCGCCGAGGGTTTTATGGGATGGAGTAACCATGGCAACGGCTCGTAAAGGACGGTTGGGTTTGGTGCCGTCGGGCAACTGTGTTAAAAAACAACTTTAAAATCGTGTCAAAGGAAACAAAAAAGTTTACGCCATCGTCCGTCGCTGAGAGGTGATTAATGTGTTTGTGTGTCTGTTAGCAAAATATCTCGAACCAATGGATACATTTTAATTAAACTTTCAGGAAATGATCATTAGAAGAACGTGTACAACCGATTAACGTTTGGAGTCAGTTCAAGTTAAGATGGCTGCCACAGCTAATCAACATTAGCCAATGTAAAAATAAAAAAATAGCTGTAACTCAGTTCTTTTTTTTTAATATAGAACTAAAATTTGGTGTGGTAGTAGCTGAGAGTCCTCCTCAACTCTTACTCTGAGTACACCTCATGAGCTCGCATCGGATCACGGTTTAATTTTGATTAAATTTTTCTAAAGTTTGACCAAAACGACTACAACGCAACATAAATGATGTTCTTTTGAAACTCTGTCCATGTAGTGCAGCAGGTGACTCCTTCAATCCTTGAAGCGATGCTAAACTTTAATTTATAAATAATTTACTGTAACAATTTCTTCTTTTTCTACAAAATCATTTGATGCTCCGACACCGGGGTCTGAAACTTTTGCATCAAAACAACCAGAGCCACAAAACCTCCTTTAGGCTTTAAGTAAAGAGACAGAAGTCATCGTGATTTAAGAATACGATGTTTGAAATATGATGAAACTAAAGATCTGTAATAAATTTACATTTATTGTAGTTTTATCAGGAAGTAAAACGAGTGTTGATCAAAGAGTGAACGTCTCGACAGCCTCAGCGTCTTTAAACAATCAGTAAACTCTTCCAGTTTTGGAGCAGCAGCTGGAAAAAGTCCGATCACCTCTGGACTTCAGTTTGGATCCAGGGACGTCTGAGAGGAACTGGTTGGTAGACCAGAGTGCTCTGACTGGAGTGTAGATGTTAAGAAGATCACATAAATATATATATATATAACATAATATAATAAAACTTTAAAAACAATTTAAAAAGTCCACCCTGAAGTGGACTGGAAGCCCGGACCAGGTTCTGTGTTCATGTTTTCCAGTTGCTGTTAAAAGACGAGCTGCTGGTTCTGGACGGTTTGTAAACGATGTGAAGATGATTTATCTAAACCAACAAACAGAACATGAAAATAATCCCAACGAGAGGTAATAAAAGCCTGAATCACCGTTTCAGGGTCAGAAAGGGAGACCAGACTTCACCTCGGCGACGAGTCCAAGTTGGAACTGGATTTATCTGTTTGTCTAATTTAAAGGAACTTGTAGGAGCTATTTGTCTAATTTTTGTTAAATCTTTGAATTTAGTTTATTACTAGCTTATTTTTAGGTTTGATTTAAATGAGTATTTTTGTTTAATTATAATTGTTTAGAATAAATTTGTTTGATAGTAAGTTGTTTATCTATTTGATTTGGATGTGGGCACATTATAAATGTGTAGGCTTTAGGGAGGCTTAGAGTCACGTGGGTGGTCATGTGGTTTTTTACCTGTTGGAGGTACAAAGCTGAGCAGTCGTAGGATCTAGAGCAGGTGTGTCAGCAAGTGATCCTGTGATATGTACCAAACTGTTTGGCTGCCAAAGGAAAAATAAACTTACCAAAAACTACATTGGGACCTTCTTCCTTTCAACTGTGTAAACCAAAACCCACGGTTTACAAGGACAAATAGTCTCTACAGAAATAATGAAAATAATCCCCAGATTCCTGACGGCAGAGTGGCTGCATGAAGCCGAAAGTGTCCGGAGCATTACATTTACCAAAGCTGATGAGTTTTATTTAATTTAGATTCGGGAAGTTTAATTTCAACGAGACTTTCAAATCATTCAGACAGTTCAAGAGTGTTTCCATGGAGTGACCCTGTCCGACTTCACGGACAGATACACCTGAATATCATCAGCAAAGCAGTGAATAAGAATGTTAGATTTTATTAAAATGGACCCCAAAGACAAGTAAAGACTAAAAAGCAGTGGACCTAAAATACACCCTTGAGGGACTCCACAGATTCGAGGAGCCACAGATGAAGAACGAACAGAAACACTGCCGTCAGTCAGGTAGGATCAGGACCAGGATCAAACTGTGCCTTTGATACGTCACCTGCTCGAGCTGTGACAAGATGTTCTGGTCCACAGGCTCAAAAGAACAGAAAGCTCTAAAAGCACTAACGAAAAGCCTCTTATTTTTAATTACAGTATTTTTCACCCTATAAATCGCAGTTTTTTTGCATAATTTACATGCCCTGTGACTTATACGCCAAAGCAACATATTCTTTACCATATTTATAAACAAATTTTTGGCTGAGATATGACCTTTTTCATTCATTCTGACTGAAATGATTGAACGCTACCATTTTCAGCCGCTAGATGGCACTCGAGCAGTATGGCATGCCATTGTATCATGTAATAGGTAAAAAAGGCTATTAATGACACTGTCGGCTTGCCATAGTCTGCCGTCTTCGTCCAGCTCTGGGATCATGCTTGGAGCAACCGTCACATCAGCTTCATTTCGCTGCGCCGCTCCATGAAATGCAGCTGATGTGACCATTGAAGTGCATTTATCAAGTAAAAGTTAAACCGAGACACACCTTTACTATAAAGTTGAGCAAACAAACAACTGTTTTTAAGTGTTAATCTTGTTAAAGACCTCCCATGCACACTCCCGCGGCCGCCATTTGGCAGCCAATTGATTTTTGGCACAACACCGGTCCACATTTCTGGGTTGTCAGCGGTGACGCATAATAGATGCGATGTATACGGCGAAGCGACGTATTTATGTTTTTTTTGCCACTTTATTAGACATATTTGGACTGATGCGACTTATAGGGCGGAAAATACGGTAATACCACAATGACTTGCCTGAGTTTTGTGAAACACTTCATTTCTGTGGCTCGTTTATTTTTTTCTATATTTAATTTTTTAATCATCTATTATGTCTGGAAGTCGGGATTAAAGGCGGCAAAGAAAGTATTTCATGAGTTGTTTGTTTTCAGGTTGCAGACACTGGCAGTCTGGGGAGTTTTGTGGCAGCTGCAGGCTTTAAGCACTGATATTCCTCTGGGAGATCAGCGCGCCACGTGGTCATGAGAGCGAAACTAAAGCTGTCAAATCTGTGAGACCACAGACGGAACGAGCTGTTTGGACCGATGACAGCGTAAGCTCTCCGCAGCCGGGGCGTTTGGGTTCGAGCGTGAGGGCACGGAAACAAATCTGACTTGAAATCAAACGTGCTGATGTACGGTTTAATCTGAAGTGTAATCCTCAGCTCCGATGTTGGCTGGCCGAAGGAGCGCGTCGGGTCCATCTCCTGCGGTTCTGGAAGAGAGATTGGCTCCGTAACGACTCCCTGCAAAGTCAAAGGGGTTGTTCAGGACGGAGCACGAGCTGCAGGGACTATTTCTGTGCGCGCGGCTGAAACGAAGCACCAACCCCACGTCAGGGTTATAAATAACCGGGACAGTGTCTGTTTACATTTTGAGGTGATGGACCCGGTTCTACATGCCGGAAGACAAAGTGTCTAACGAAGTGGGCCTTCCTTTAACCCCTCTCAGCTGCGTTACTCATGAAGTTTATGACCCACCTGATCCTCCTGATCGTTGTTGGTTTTGCTCTCTCGCAGCCCGACCAGTGACCGGCAATGGAGTACATGAACAACGCCTCGAACAACTACGGCTCTGGAGACACCGTCAGCTCCTCCTTAGCTAACATGACCATCAACGAGCAGCATCGCCAGGAGAACGGAGTGGCCAAAATGAAAGGTCAGACCAATAATCTGAGAGTTCCTCTTAAAGAAGCAACCAGTGGTGATCTCATGAGGGTCTGTAGTTCAGCCTAAATTCTTCATGTGCAGCACAAATACGTAGCTCATTGTGTTAATGTGTCGTATACTTCATACAAAATGTGTTAAAAGGTTTAGGCAGGAGATTTTTAGTGTCTTCAGGGGAAAAATAACAAAAAATAAGATATTGTTTTGCAGGGAGGACAGTTAGAAAAACTGTTATTCCAGCTGTCAACTCTATGAAGTAGGGGTGCAGCCAGACAGGATCCTCCTGAGTCCACAAAAGTTAGACTTTTTTATTTTATTTTTTTACTTTGTGGTTTTGAGAATAAAGCTTTGGCCACAAACTCAGCCGACTGGCCTCTCCTGTCCGGTCGGTTTCATTCTACCTGAAACATTTAATCAGGTGAGATCCTGATTTGAAGTCGCTGAATTTATTTTCCTGATTTAAACAGTTAGTGCGGTTTTAATATCCTATCTGTTGCACGCGGCTTATTTGAACGGCCTTGGTTTGGACCCGAGCTAACGGCTAATTTAAGAACAAAACGGATCACGGTTGTTTTTAAACAACTCCGTCTGCGAACATCAGGTTACAAGTCTTTACACCTCTATACATTTTCATCACAAGTTTTGTTTATGTAACGTTCTGCTGCAATTTGTAGCTATAGAAGCTAGCTGTAGCACTTCCTGTGGGGACATCACAATTGTTTCTCCAGAATCATTAACGTGAAACTGACACAAATCAGGAATATAAAATGCTGTTCGGATCAATCCCCATTAAATATCTGCCATTGGATTTTATGTTTTGGGTCTGCTTGGACTAGCCATTAGCTCATCAGTTTAGTCAGAACAGGTTGTACCCAGAGCTGTCCACAGCAGGTAAGATATTAACTGTTCATACGGCAGTTACGCAGTGATCTGCTACATCAGTTTCCTGTGGCACCTCAATGCAGGGTTTGTTGAGGTAATTTTATTCAAAGCAGACGATCAAGGAACGTGATCACGGAAGTGCATTTATAATCTAGTTTCATCCTAACTTCACCAGATTATAATCTGTATCATACAGTAAATGGAGGATGTGTATCCTGAGTCGTCGTGGTGCAACACGCATGCGTCCCGGAAAGATTTTCCTCCTGAAGATGTCTTTAGTGAAATGGTTTATTTTCAGAGACCACAGCTGTCACTTACAGTTATAACGTTTAGATGTCCTTTGATGTCCTTTGATGTGCTTTAATCCGTTTATGTTCATTTCTCGTGTTGTTTGACTTTAACGCCCGCAGGTTGAGGATTAGTCTCCATGTTTTTGTATTAAAGCTTTAAATCTCTGAACAGCCGGGTCATTTTGTGGCAGCCCGAACAGTAAATGCAGTTTTCTGAGGGTCAGTGTGCAGGCTGGGGGGTGGGGGGGGGGGCAGGGTCCCTGACTTTCCTCTGTGTTTTGTTTTAATCTCTACATAATGGATACAAGACGGGCTTGACTGCAGCTGCAGCGTTCTCTGTAATCCAGACATCTGGGTCAGACGAACAAGAACGAGCCCCGTCTTCTTCTTCTGTCGCTCCCCGTCCGGTTCATAATCAGATTTTTAGCGCTGCAGAGAAAACTGATTATCAATCCAAGAGTTTGTTAGATCAGTGATATACTCCTGCAGGAAAATGATGCATGGTGGAAGAACCAACTGTAAAATGTGAAACTCATGTGGAAATTTCTAAAATACCGTTTCCATAAAAGATCGGCGTTGTTTTAAGACGACGGCGGTCAAATGTTGTTCCAAGTCACGTTCCAACAAGCTCTTAGCTCGTCAGTCCGCTCAAAAATAAAATGTTTCTCCAAACTGAGGTTGTTCAAATAGTTATTTACAGCAGGTAAGATGCTATTTGATCATAATCTTTCCACAGAACCACACTATCGAAAGCTGTGAGATCCAAATAACTCTTGGTTCAGTGATGAAGTGAAGCCACAAGGAGAGAAATGAGTTTAGAGCTGCTCATTTTATCAATAAAACATCAACAGCTGGTGCCGTCTTATTATCAATAAGTAAAATCAACGACAAGCCAAAAGTTGTTTAAAAACAACCAAAGTTCTTTACAGGGGCAAAATAATAACCTAACAATAAAATAAAGTTAAATTAGGCACTAAAACATAACAAAACAACGATAAATGAAATTAATACATTAACTTACTAAAAACAAGATGTCTTAACTACCAGAAGTGAAAGAGACCAAAGCTTTAATTTTAATTTAAATCTAATTTTTAATCTTTAATTTTAATTCAAGGCTCTGAACGTAAACTCAGCTCTGTTTTTCTCCAAACGCTTTTAATTTCTATTCTATCTCACATTGTTCATCTTGTTTCTAAAAATCAGTTTTAAGTTGTGCAAAAATCTGTTCTCTCTTTCTTTTATTAAAAAAATAAAAAATAAAATCCCCCAAACAACTGTATGACCAATTAGTTCGTAGTTTAGCTTTCCCTAGTCTGCAGCCATCGTTAGTTCAGTCGTTCTCCCCGTTTCCTCTTCCCCTCGTCTCCTGTTGGAACAGGAAGCAGCCGACAGAGTCTGCAGAGATAAACGTCCGTTTCATCAGCAGTCAGACGCAGAGTGAGTACCTCGACTTTTCGCCGGAGCTGGACTGTGTGTAGCTGTAGAGCATTTAACCCTCAGATGGTTCGGTGGAGAAAAATCAGCCACATTCATTTTATTTTTGTGCTCCTGTAAACATCCAGTCACTTTACTGCCCTCTAGTGTTCCTTTGTGGAAAAACCGACCCTGTTGAAATCCCAATATAAATGCAGTTTTGATCCCATGTTTATAAAATACGTTCCTTTCAGTTAAATCTTTTCCTTCAGCTCTACCAGCTGAGCCACCATGCCGCCGTGATAAAACCAAAGAATTAAAATAAAACTAGAGAAATTGCATTTCCTGCAAAAATGCAGTGTGAATACTTATTTCAGAAGAACTTGCTGAAAAACAGCTGAAATTAGAAAAAAAAAATAACATGCTGAAATTTTGCTGAAATGGAAGAACAAGCCTAAATTACCAGAAGAAAGCAGAAAGAAGAAATATTTGCTGAAATAGGTTTAAGTAAGCAGAAATGAGCACAATAGAAAATAGCTAAAAAAAACAACAACTGAAAATAGCAAAAAGTAGCTGAAAATTCAGAACATAGGTTAAACTACCAGAAGGAAAAATCTGAAATGAGCTAGAAAAATGTGGAATTAGCTGAAAAAGCTAAAAATTAGCATAAAACAGTTAAATAGCAGCCAAAATGGCAGAAAATGCTGAAACTAGTACAAAAAAGCCAAAAGGAACATAAAGAAGTTAATTAGGCTGAAAGTAGAAGAAATTAGCATGAAAAACTTGAATTTATCTGAAAACGGCTGAAATTTGCTAAGAATTGCTAATAAAGGTAGCTGAAAACCTAGAACAAGCTTAAATTAGCCTAAGAAAGCAGAAGGAACACGGTTGCTGAAAAAATAAGAAATAAGCACAAAAAAGGTGGAAATTATCAGAAAAAAGCTGAAATTAGCAAATAAATTACCGGAAGGAAGTGAAGAGCACATTTTTGCTGAATTAGGCTGAAAGAATTAGAAATGAGTGCAAAAAATGTGGAATTAGCTGAAAAACTGAAATTAACATAAAACGGCTAAATAGTAGCTGAAGTAACAGAAAAAGTTGAAACTTGCAGAAATAATCTGAAAGGAGCATAAGAAGTTGAAATTAGTAGAAATAAGTTACAATAATGGCAAAATACAGAAATGTTGTGGTTAGCAGAAAGAATCAGAAAGGAGCACAAAACGGCTAAAAATCAGCTGAAATGAGCTGAAAGTAGCCAAAAACAGTTGAAAGGAGCAGAACCAGAACAAAATGTGAAAGGAGCAGTAAAAGGTTGTAAACAGATATCTAAAGATCTAAAAGATGTAAAATGAGCTCAGTTCATTTTCTATGAGGAAAAAATGTTAGAAAAAGCTAAATAGTTCAAAAAGCTAAAGTTGCAACAAAACCAAAAAGTCATCGCAGGATTGTCCTGAAAGAGCTGAACGTTTGGATTTATATTTTGATGAAAGAGCTGAAAACTGCAGGACGAGATTCGTGTTGCAAAACGTACAGAATAAAACTGGATGACGACCGAGTGAACGCGTCATGAACGTTCAGAAAATGAAACCTGGTCCACGGCGGCCGACTCGTGTGGGTTGGACTGAAACAGGCGCTCCTCAACGTCGAGCAGATCTGTTGCGGAGCACGTGTAGAGCATTAGAAGAGCTGTGAACCCAGTAGTTCAGTAGTTTACAGTTAATCGAATTATTCAAATCACAGTTTAGGAGTATTTGTGTTTGTACAAAGTATTTAAATAAACAGTAAACAGGATAAAGTTCATGTATGAATTCAACGCGGAAGTGTTTAAATACGTCTGCGTTTCTATTGTTTTTTGTTGGATCCAACAGAATCTGACACTTTAACACAATCTCTTCATGAGTTTTTGTGTGAATCTGAATTTAAACGTCACAGACGGTCGTCGTGTTCAGTTGTCGTGGATTTTTGTTCACAGCTTCAGCTTGAGGAGCCGTTTCCTGTTTGTTTTGACGACTTCCTGTTTGACCTGGGGTGTACCTTTTAATTCACAGAAGATGAAGCGGTTCTGGGTGAAAACGCGGTGAAATCTGTTTCTGAGCTTTCTCAGCCAGAGAGCGACCGTCGTGACGACGAGGCGCCGCCCGGTACGCACGCCTGCAGCTCGCAACGCTTAAAACACTCCTTCATTTCGCTCGGTTGACTTTGTCTGCAAATTATCGCTTCATTCTCTTTATTTGACGAATGACTTTTTATTTTATTTTGCAGAAATATAATCCAAGAAAAGCTGCCTTTTCCTGCAATAACACAATACTTAATGTTGCTTTCCTGCTTCAAACTGCTCTGCTGTGCTGCTCCTCAAACACTAAGTGCACGTTGAGTCACTGTTTCACGAGCTAAAAATAAGACATGACTACGTCTGTGTGCCTTTTGCATTCAGCCGAGCCCGCTGCACGTCTCTCTGGGTAAAGCCTGTTTTCATCGTAAATAACGACTCAGACTGTCAATGAGAAACGCTTTGAATGAAACCGGTCGCTTGTTGCAGCAGCAAACTGCCCGAAGTCATAAAGGTTTAACGTTAACACTCGTTGGTCCTGCAGCAGAAACATCTGCAGTGGAAGGAGCTGAAGTTGTGTCCGAGCGCTCCTCCAGTGAAGACAAGGGGGAAGTTGGTACGCCTCCGTTCGTTACGCTCCTTCCTTCAGCTGCTCGTGCTTCCATCGGTTTCTACACATTTATCATTGTATTTAGTCCAACTCTGGAAATACACCCGTCTGCTTTTGTTGCTGAGAGTTAGAGTCCGCTGTCGTATCCGTGTGTTAGCTGCCAATATATATGAATGTTAGCCACTGGTACACTAGCTTATCTGACCATTAGCACTTGTACATTAGCCTGGTGGCTGCTAATATATTAGCCCATTAGAAGCTAGTACTTTAGCCTGTTGTCTGACAATACATTAGCCCAATAACCACTAGTAAATTAACCTTAGCTGCTATTTTATTAGCTAATTAGAAATTTAGCCTGTTATCTGATAGATTAGTGCAATAGCCGCTAGCAAATTAGCCTGTTAGCAGTTAAAATATTAGCCACTTTGAAGCTAGTACATTAGCCTGTTATATGTTATATTAATACGTTAGCCACTAGTACATTAGCCTGTTATGTTATTATATTAATATGTTAGCCACTAGTACTTTAGCCTGTTATGTTATATTAATACGTTAGCCACTAGTACTTTAGCCTATCAAACAACATATTAGCCCGATAGCCACTAATAAATTAGCCTACTACATTATTAGCCAATTAGAAGCTAGTCTGTTATCTGACAATAAGTTAGTCCATTAGCTCTTTTTCTTTAGCCTTTTATCTGCCCATATATTAGTATGTTAGTCTCAAGTATGTTTGCTTATCTGACAATAAGCTTATTAGCCACTTCTACATCTGTCAGTACAGAAGCTCAGTAGCACTTGGACTTGGCATCTGTGTGACTTCTGCCAATACAGTACAGCTCTATGAATTGATTACATTGTCACATTAGCTACCAAAATATTATGCCGTCAGTTGGCAAAACACAACTTTTTACTCAACAACTTGTTAGCTTGTTTGCACCGTAGCCACTCGTGCATAGCTGCCACTACATTAGCTCGTTAGTGGCCAGTACACTTGCATCTTTAGCTGCCAAAGCATTAGCCCATTAGCCACAAATATATTAGCTTGTAAACAGCCAATACATTAATTTTTTAGCCTTTGCTTTAATAACTGCCATTTAATTGTCTGTTTGCTACAAAAACATTAAACTATTAGTCCCCATTAGCCCGTTATCTGCCAACATGTTGCCCCATCAGTAGCTCAGACGTTGGTAGTTGCACTACCCTTATTATTTAACGGTACATTAGCCCGTTAGTCATAAATATAATAGATTCTGGTTTCCAAAGGACGTTAAAATTTAAACCAATAACAAATTATGAGCTTTTAGTTAGCTCCAATAAATTGGTCACGTTTATCTTCACTGCACCAATCTGAGAGTTGATTTATAATCTCAGACAGAGAAAGCGTGTCGGTGTATGTCAGAGAGTTGGTCATATTTTAACAGCTGCTTTCCTGCGTGTTGAAAATGAGCTCGCTGTGTTTCAGCGTCGTGAATGAAAAGTTCAGTTTCTATTTTCCTTTAAAGGTTTTCTTTGTTTGCTTTTTTCTTTTCACGCCGCTTCAAACCGAACTGCAGCAAACAGACAGCAAGCTTCTTTTTTTTAAGTTCAAAGACGGTTACTGTACATGATGCTTATTTTAGAATAAACGTCCAGACCTCGGGCAGATTAAGTCCATGTGTCATCTGCTACACAGATGCACGTTTCTGAGTGTCCTGGGTGAAGTTAAACGCAGCTGAAGCAGCAGATTCAAAGCTTTAAACTGTGTGAATCTGTTCATTTTGCACTTTTTTTTACTTTGAATTATTTATTTACCTAACAGGTATTGGCTGTGGGCTTTTCTGCATTAACTGAATATGCGCTGTTTGTGGCCTTATGGATTTCTTTATGAACAACTAAAACTAATTAAATCTCTTGTCTTTTATCATCTGTCTTGTTCATTCAGCAGCAGGAGGACCGTCTTCAGCAGGTAGGCTCCACTGATCGCACTCCAGCAGTATTTAGTTGTAGAAGACTTGATATGAAGGACAAGTCAGCCCAGAGGGGTTGAGCTGCTTCTGTCAGGATTTATTATTTATAAATAAAATTGTTCAGAGGTGCTAATAATTAACTATAATGTACTGTCTACAGTGTAGTAGCCGAACCGTGACAATAACTAATGTATATTGTGATTATATATACTGTAACTTCAGTGTTTTTTGTTGCTTTTCGTAGTTTTTATTACTACACATTTATCTAGAACCCGAAACTTTCCCCCGTGTGTGAAGTTTTAATAAGAGGGAGCGTTTCACTCTTTATTTGCACTATTAAGAGGCTCAATAAATCTATTTTTTCATATTTATTTTCTAAACTATTCCTTTTAACGTGTTAAAAAATGTGTCAAAAATGTAAATTTAAAGTTTAATACATTTAATGTAATTATTTGCAGTAATCATGGATATAATCAAGTTTTGTGTCCAAATAAATAGTTAATTATCAACATAGTTATTCATTTTAATATTTTAAGGTTTTAATGACGAGTTGATCTCCAGTTCAATCGTCGTGTATTTTAACAAATAATTAAAACCTTCTGGGTGTTTTTATGCTGCTAATAACAGACTTTATTGTAATGTGAACAGACGCTTCACAGTTTATGAACTTTGGAGGAAGTAACTTTTATTTTTTACAGTAACGATGCTGTGTCTGAGTTTTCATCATGTTCAACGTCTGTCGTGGCAGTAAAAAACTTTTATTTTTCATATTCATATGTTTTTAACTGATTTCAGTTTGTTTCCTCATCAACTTCACTTATTTAACTTTTAGTTTGATTATTTTTAGTTTTAAAGGGGAAGTGGAGAACAAGTGCTGCAAAGATCTCACGGTTAATCTGCTTTTTGAATCACATCAGTGGGGCCTGGTGCGTGTGCTCCTGCTGCGCACAGCGCCGCCATGAAGGCCACGGCGGCTTCCTGGTCTCCAGACCCAGGATGTAAAGCAGCGGGGGATTCTGGGAAGAGGCAGAATGGCTCTCGGTGGACCTCCGAAGACCTCGGCTGCAGGTCTGAGATGAGACGGGACACGGAGGCCGGCCCCGAGTGGACCGGAGCCGCAGACTCTCAGAGAGCGACGAGCCTCGATGCGTCCGAGTGTTTGTCAGAAACGAGCGATCTGCCTGGGACGTGTTTAGTCCGGAGCACGGCTTTGGAGGACCTGACCTCCATCGAAGACAAAAGCTTGTGCGTTAATCAGAGGGAGGTCCTCTCTGAGCAAACTGGAGAAGTCCTGGATGCTGATGGAGGTAATTCTCAGTCCTGCAGTGACGTCCCTTCAGAAGCACAACAGGACCTGTCGTTGTCTGGCTTTGATTCAGAAGATCTCCAGCCAGCACTCATTTCTGAGGAGGATGGCCTTTTTACCAAACAGCCACGTGACACGGAGGCAGACAGCAGCCGTGACTCATCGCCACACAAGGACATGAATTCAACGCCTGACGTCTGTAATGAATCGATGAATCAATCTCCCCCCCGCAGCTCTGCAGCCAGAAAGTCTTTGGTGCCGGTTGCTGTTTCCAAAGGTCTGTTTGCTGCCACGAACCAGCCCCTTCAGTTCAGTTTACTCCTTCCACTTTGATTTACGACGCAGCTTCGCCTTTCAGTTACGCAGCACTCTTACTCCAGGTCATCTCCACGGGCGGTTAGCGTCGATCCGAGGAGCTTGTTGTCCTCTCCCCCACTTTAGCTTTTTGTTTCGTCCTCCCGTCTCTGAGACTGTTGGTTTTGCAGCCCAACAAATAAAATGTCATGTTGCACGCTGAATACCCAACATCCATAATTTCATTTGTTTTCTCGTTTCGTTCATGATGATGTTTTCAGAAACTAAACGTTTCCCTTCACCTGCGTGGACGTAAACAACTACAGATGTTTAAAAGTAAAGAGTCGTAATCTGATCCGTTTTCTTTTTGTAGCTCAAGCTAAGACGAACAATGGAGACAAGGTACGGAACCGTTCTCGTGCTAATTATGACAGAAATGTTGTTCAAGGATAATTCTGGTTTATTAAAACTTGGGACTTGTTCTGTAGCACTTAAAACAAAAACTAAATGATTGTTCCAGCCTCCAGGAGAAGGAAGGCTTTGACTGGTTGACAAACCTCAGATTCACGAGGAGCAGCGCCGCTTCTGCCTGGATCGTATGACCCCTGATGGGATCGTATGACCCCTGATGGGATCGTATGACCCCTGATGGGATCGTTTGACCCCTGATGGGATCGCATGACCCCTGATGGGATCGTTTGACCCCTGATGGGATCACTTTTGACGGCTGACTGCCAAGCTGGTTGGATTCTACTGGTGCTGTTCCTCATCTCCAATGTCAAGATCTTAGGTGGAGAGAGGAAGGGTCAGGTGGCGTGGTTCTGTCGGTGCCGGTGGCTCACAGTCGAGCATTGAGGGATTAAATCTGAGGCGGCGATTCTCAACAAGGTGGAACGCTACCTCTGAGTCGAGAAAGAGCCGTCTCAAGTATCTGAGGGGGAAGTTCAAAGGTGAGTAGGACGGGCAGGGCAAGAAGAATAGATGGATGAAGTCCTTGCATGCAGTAATGAGGCTGTTGTTCCGGTCTGTCGTGGTGAAGGAGCTGAGCTGAAAAGGAAAGCTTAATTTCCAGATTCCAAACCACCTGTGGTCTTGATGAGTAGACCATCCAGCTACCAGCGAGCTTTGAGGAAATCCGCTGCTTGTGGAGCACGTTACATGTGATAGACGTCTTCCTCAGACCGTCTTCCTCAGACCGTCTTCAAAAGACGACACTTTAAAACTCAGTTTAGTGGTCCTATTCATGTTTAACAAAATCTAAAAAACAACACTCGAGACCGGTCTCGACCACTTTTTGATGGTCTCTTCTCGGACTCTATCGCATTTGGTCTTGGTCTGGACTTGGTCTTGGTCTGGACTTGGTCTTGACTTGGTCTCGGGTTAGGTGGTCTTGACTACAACAATAGCCATCATGGATTTTCTCTGTACTGGTTCCATTTAGTGTTGTCAGCTTTTCAATTCTTCGGCTGGCCGGTCGCACAGACTGAATGTCATCACTACGTCACGTTTTACAGCTGATGTACCTTTTTATACGTCGCCTGTTTCGGCTCTGTTACTACCTCGCTTGGTGGCACACAAGGAGGTTGACTTCAAGTCTTCATACCGCCTCGGTCCATTCAGAAATCACGCCCAGCAATTGTCTTAAATTCTAGTTTAAATATTTTGTTAAAGTTCTGCAAAGGTTGTGGAGATCATCATTCAAGAGGCAGCTTGCAGCAGACCCCTCATCATCGACAGGACCCGGTCCAGGTGGTTCAGCATCAGATTAGGTCCTGTTCATCTTCTGTGGTTCTTTTGGATGACGACACCGAGGCAAACCCAGAACTCGCTGGAGGGATTGTGTATCCTTTACGTTGACTTGTTGCCTGTAGGACCCAGCTGTAAATAAGAAGTTGAAAATGGACTGAAAAATGGATTGTATGGATCATTATATGGATCATTGTATGGATCATTGTATGGATTATTATATGGATCATTGTATGGATTATTGTATGGATCATTGTATGGATCATTATATGGATTATTGTCTGGATTATTGTATGGATCATTGTATGGATTATTATATGGATCATTGTATGGATTATTATATGGATCATTGTATGGATTATTATATGGATCATTGTATGGATTATTATATGGATCATTGTATGGATTA